GGGTCGCAGGGCAAGACTGCGCGGGTGTGGCCACGTGTGATGGTGTGAGGCAGCATCTGTGGCAATGTGGGCTGGTGTCTGTCACAGCGTGTGACCCAGCCAGGGCCCTGGTGACACCGGGTCACAGGGAAGGCTCCGTCTCAAAAAAAAAAAAAAAAAAAAAAACACCCCGAACTAAAAAACCAAAAACCCAAACAAAAAACACAGTGTGTGTGTGTGGCCACGTGTGATGGTGTGAGGTGTCTGTGGCGATGTGGGCTGTCGTCTGCCACAGTGTGTGTGACCGAGCCTGTCTGGTGACAGCGAGTGGGTGGGTCTTTCCTGCCGTCTCAGGTGGCGGTGAGGCTGTTTCGTGGAGTGTTAATTAGGGAAATCAGTTCCTGCCAGGGCTGGGGCCATTGTGGAAGGGGTCCAGGGCTGGAGGTGTAGGGCCCCTTCCTGCCCAGCCCCCGTGGAACGGGAGTGTCCCACACCTGGCATGGCACCAGTCACTCTGCACACGTCCTCCCTGTGCCCTTCGAGGCATCCCCTTGGGGCGAGGGGAGCTCGGAACAGCTCATTTTCCTGCTGACAGGAGAGGTCTGCCGTCCTTGGAAGGCAGAGGCAGACGGTGCAGGCAGTCTTTTTTTTTTTTTTTTGAGACTGAGTCTCTGTCGCCCAGGCTGGAGTGCAGTGGCGCAATCTCAGCTCACTACAAGCTCTGCCTCCTAGGTTCACGCCATTCTCCTGCCTCAGCCTCCCAAGTAGCTGGGACTAGAGGCGTCCGCCACCTCGCCCAGCTCATTTTTTGTATTTTTAGTAGAGACGGGGTTTCACCGTGTTAGTCAGGATGGTCTCGATCTCCTGACCTCGTGATCCACCCGCCTCGGCCTCCCAAAGTGCTGGGATTACAGGCGTGAGCCACCGCGCCCGGCCCCAGTTTGGGTTTTAAATGACAGTTTTCTCTGTTGCGCCAGCACCTCCCCTAAGTTCAGGGACCTTCACCCCCCAGCCTGGCCATTTAGCCTGGAATGCAACTTGCGGGGTTGCTTGGCGCTTGAGGCCAGGATATGCTCTGAGCTGGCGATGGCCATCTCTTCTTCTGGGGCCTCTCGTTTCCCTCTGACCTTCTGCCCTCATCACCTGGTGATCTGGACCCAGGGCCATATCCCTTCTTTGCCCAGTTCTTGGGGCAGTGACCATGTCAGGCCATGTGTGGTGCCCTGTCTGCCCCTCCACGAAACCTGGGAACTGTGGGAGGACATGGGGACAGCCCAGGGGCAGGCTGGGGTTCCTGTGTGCTCCTCGGGAATGCCCCTCAGTTCCGCACAGCCTTGTCTGAACTGGTCTGTACCTGGTGTGCGTGTCCTTGTGCCCGACGGTCTGGAGGGAGCACTGAGTGAGCCAGTGCCTCCAGGCCTCTCCCGTGCTCCAGGATATTACGAGGGACACCTCTCCAAAGATGCATGGGTGGGGGTGCTGCGTTAGCAGTCAGCACCCTCAAGAGCCCGTTCCCCAGCTGCTGGTGCATCCCGTAGCAGGGCCAGGTCCCCCAGGAAGTGGGGGCATCTCTGTAGAGTTGGCAGACCCTGCCTACCCTGGGGCTGTGGCCCAAGCCTGGTGCTCCAGTGAGGACAGATTCTCTTAATTAGGGATGTCCCCAGCACTTGTGTCACTGAGCTGGTCTCTGGTCCTGCACACTCCAGACACATCCACCCTGGCTCACACACCCCGCTCACAAGCACCCCGGTGTCCATGCACCCCAGGCTCCCACGTACCCTGCTCACACGCACCCTGGTTTCCATGCACCCCAGGCTCCCGTGCACCCTGGCTCACATGCACCCCCATTCACATGCACCCCAGGCTCCTACACATCCTGGCCAACAAGCATCCTGGCCCACATGCGCCCCGGCTCACATGCACCCCCACTTACATGCACCCCCATTCACATTCACCCCAGGCTCCTACACATCCTGGCCAACAGGCATCCTGGCCCACATGCGCCCCTGTTCACACGCACCCTGGCTCCCACGCACTCCGGCTCCCACACACTCTGGCTCAGATGTACCCCTGCTCACACACACCCCGGCTCACACACCCCCCCTGGCTCACACACATCTCTGGGGTCACATGCACCCCAGCTTACACACACCCTGGCTCACACCCACCCCGACTCACACGCACCCCGGCTCACAGGCATCCTGACCCACACACACCTCGGCTCACACACACACCGGCTCACACGCTCCCTGGCCCCCATGCACCTCAGCTCACACGCACCCCGGCTCACACACGCCCCAGGTCACACACACCCTGGCTCACACGCACCCCCACTCACACGCTCCCTGGCCTCCATGCACCTCGGCTCACACGCACCCCCTCTTGCACCCCAGCTCACATGCACCCCTGCTAACATACACCCCATCTCACAGGCACCCCAGCTCACACATGCCTCAGGCTCATGCATCCCTCCCCTGGTGCATCTCTGGGCCGCCCTCTGCCAGGCTGTGCTGGCTCCCACCCCCAAGCCTTTTCCTGGTCTCCTGGGAAGCCTCCTCTATCCCCCTAAGCTGCTTCTGGGGCTGGGTTTGCTCAGAAGCAACACCCAGGCTGGGCACTGTGCCCAGGTTTCCTATTGGCTCCTTAGCAGCACCCCTGGAGCTATGAGGGGCTGTGTGGTCAGAGCCAGCAGGTTAGCCCCTGCCTTGGTACTCCGAATCCTGGGGCCCAGAGCACAGGGGTGACCCGTCTTCCTGCACCTGGTCTGTCCAGCTCCCCTGCGCCCCTGTGCCCTATGCCTGGCCTGCTGGGGAGGGGCTCTGGGCTTGGGTGTCAGAGCTCAGCAGGCACCAGGAGCCAGCGGCTCGGCAGAGCTTCCCAGGACAGGCCCTGCACTGGCAGCCTCCGGACAGCGTTCTATTGTGAACGTTAAGCAGAGATGCTGCCTTTGGAGGGCCGGGGAAGGACAGAGCCTGCATTCTCCCCAGGACAGCCTGAGCATGTGTGGGACTCGTGGGCCCCAGCAGCGGGGGATTCTGCTCTGAGGGGATTTCACCCTGTGGAGTCCAGAGGGACCCAAGACACCAGTGAGAGGCCTGGCCTGAACCTCTGGGCACCAAGTGACCATGCCAGCCTTGGGCAGGGAGCCGTGTCCCATCTCCCCAGCACGGGCTCCTGCCTGCCTGCCAGCCAGTGAAAGGGTGGCGGCCTCCAACCTGCAGCCTGGCCTGGCTGATGCACTGCTCAGGGAGGGGCAGGGGAGCGTGCACACGAGGAGGGGGCATCTCCTACCCCCAGGCCCCCTGAGGCAAGAGTCTTGGGGCCCATGGGGCCTGCGGGAGCCCTGCCAGGGTGGAGGCCCCAGGCCTGTCTTGAGCTGAGCTGCTGTGGCGGGTGGGGGTGGCGCGGTGCTGGTGGCCAGCAGCTCATCTCCCAGCCTTGGTTTGTGTCTGGAAAGTGGGGTGTGAGTCTGGCCACTGGGGCTTGGGAGGCTTTTATGGAGTAACTTGGGGCTTCTGGTAGCCCCCAGGGAACCCCCAGAGCCTGTGGTCTGGGTGCTCCGAGGGGCTCCATCGGGTGGAGGGGTGGCTTTGCCAGCCTACTCCCAAGTCCCGTCCAGTCGGGTGGGGCAGGCGTCCCCCAGGGCTGTGTGGCCCTTCCCCAGAACCAGTCAACCGTCGGCAGCCCAGGACGTCTGCCCACCACCCACCTGGGTGCCCACGCTGTGGACCGGGAGCTGGTCAGCTTTTTCAGGCGACTGCTTACCCTGTGCCCAGGTCTGGAACGTATCTTCCGTCTCCTGCTGAAACGGCCCAAGCCCGAGGCCTCAGCGTCAGAGGGTGGGGGTCCTGTTGGACCCCTGCTTCCCTTGAGGCCTTGCTGGGCTGGCAGCCTAGCACCCTCTCTTCGGGCGCAGGACCCCCTCGTCTCCCCCGCCTCTTCCTGTTTTAATTGATTTTTATAAGAACAAGCACTTAGGAAACACAGTAAGAGCTCCAGCGGTTACAGGGGCTGCGGGAGATGCTTCTGGGGGACCTGCCTTCTCCGTTCCTGCCAGTGCCTGTGTGGCTGTAAGAAATCGTAACTTGGCTGGGCACGGTGGCGCACGCCTATAATCTCAACACTTTGGGAGGCCAAGGCAGGCAGATCATGAGGTCAGGAGATTGAGATCACGACCGTCCTGGCTAACATGGTGAAACCCTGTCTCTAGTAAAAATACAAAAAGGTAGCCAGGTGTGGTGGTACATGCCTGTAGTCCGAGCTACTTGGGAGGCTGAGGCAGGAGAATCACTCAAACCTGGGAGGCGGAGGAGGTTGCAGTGAGCCGAGATGGCGCCACTGCACTCCAGCCTGGGCAACAGAGTGAGACTCCATGTCCAAAAAGAGAGAAAGAAAGGAAAGAAAGAAAAGGAAGGGACAGAGGGAGGAGAGAGAGGGGAGAGCGGAGAGAGACAAAGTGTGAGGGAATCAGCGTTTCTCCTGCCACGAGTGGCGGGACAGCCGGGGACATCACAGAGACCTTCTTGGGAAGTGGGCACCGGAATCCTGAGACCACCTGCCGGAGTGAGGGCAGGGCTGGGTGTCCCTGACAGCACAGTCTGGAAAGGCTGGAGTGGCCTGTCAGGTGGGGAGTGGGCTTCTGTGCTGGGCAGACCAGAGGGCGAAGTGGGGTTGGGGGTGTGCAGGCTGCGTCCTGGGGCCTAAGATCCCGCCCCTCTGGCTCCAGGCTGGGGGGTGGGCAGATCCCCCCTAGAGGGAGGTTCAGGGGCACAAGGGAGCCCCCACCACTGTGGCCAGGGATTGTGGGTTTGGGGATGGGGTGCCAACCCAGGGTGTCGGGAAAAGACTGGCCTGCCCTGGATACCCCCCAGGGCTGCCGTGGGATTTAGCAGGACTCCGGGCGGTTCTGGCTCAGGCCGGCAGGCGGTGTGGCCTTGGCTTGTGGACCAGGCTCTGCCCTGGGGTCCAGAGCTTGTGTTGGGCCTCACCCTGTCTGTCTCTCTCATGTTGCTGTGCCCCAGCTGGGGGGCTGTGGCGTGCTGGGTGTTGGCATCTGGCTGGCCGCCACCCAGGGGAGCTTCGCCACGCTGTCCTCCTCCTTCCCGTCCCTGTCGGCTGCCAACCTGCTCATCATCACCGGTGCCTTTGTCATGGCCATCGGCTTCGTGGGCTGCCTGGGCGCCATCAAGGAGAACAAGTGCCTCCTGCTCGCTGTGAGTGCCAGGGCCCAGGCATGCTCTGGGTGGGACCACGCAGGGTGGGGCTCCGGTGGTCCCCAGGCCTTGGGTGCTGCAGTGACCCCCAGACGTGGGCCCCACCTCTGGGGCCTGACCTCCAGGTTGGGCGTGTGGCCACTGTTGGGTCTTCCGGGCTGCACTGGGGCCGGGGTCACTCGAGAACATGCTGTAGCTTGTCGGGAGCCTTCCTTGACGGGACACTGGCCCTGGTGAGCACAGGCACAGCCCCATACACGTGTGCACAGGCATGCACAGCCTTTCACGGGCTGCGGTCTCCATGACTCATTCCTGACCACCCCACCCCCGCTGTGGCCCCTTCCCCAGCTCCTTGTCCGGGGCCTGGTCTCTCAGCTCCCTGGGACCATCTGCTGGGACCCTCCCGGCCCCCACCTCGCCTCAGGGATGGACTTATAGGCAGGGATGTTTATCCTCCTTGGAAATGTTCATCACAGATAATTAAAAATGAAAAGGGCTCCTAGATGGAAACACAGGCTTGCTACCGATTAATATGCCTGGCTGAGGCCGTGGGCCCAAAGCGGGTCTGCAGCCTGCTGAGGTCCCAAATCAAGAGGCTTCAGATCACCTCTTTGTCTGAGAAGCCCTGGATGGGGTGGGGCCTCCCTTAGATCGCCTCAGCCAGCCCACTCCCCTCTGTACCCCTTCCTGGGGGTGAGCCCCACATCTCTCAGCCTCCCCGGCATCTGTTGGGGCCCAGAGCCCCCTGGAGGCAGTAGGTGGGGGTCTGTGGCAGCCATGCTGGGGCTTGGAGCTCCTCCAACAGTTGAGGAAGCTGCTGTGTGTGGGCCCCGCCAGGCCTGCAGGGATAGAAGTCCTACCCTTTCCCACAGGTGACTTGGGACCAGAACCCTGGGTACCTCCTGGGGGTGAGGGGCTCCTGTGTCCTTAGCCCAGCACCCTGTCTGCCCCACTCATGCCTCACGCCCACTCTGCCTGGGCCCCCCAGTTCCTGGACACACCCCGTCCATGCCTGCCTTCCTCTTGCAGGTGTCAGTGACCTCCGCATGGAGGAGCAGCAGGGCTGGGGTCAGGCTGAACTTCAGGGCTGCCGCCAGGAGGGGGAAGCTTGCGTGGTCAGAGGTGGGGCTTGCAGCCTGTGGTCTTGCTGGAGGGGGTATCAGCCACCCTGGCTGCTCTGAGGGCTGTGATGTGGGAGCCGAAGGGGCCTCTGCAGCCCAGGTGTGACAGGGACCCCGCGAGGCACCCGCTGGACACTCACAGGCCCCTGGACGGAGGTGTCTGAAGCCAGCTGACAGGGGCTAGAGCCTTGGGAACAGGGACTTGTGCCCACTTGGGGGTGTCTGGGTTGCCCCAGGGATGGGGGCAGGGGAGGGGAGCCCAGGCCAGCCCAGGGCCCTACACTCAGGAGCTGAGCAGGACACGACAGCCACGGTCCCTGGACCTGGGGCCAAGGCTGAGGGTTCTGAGGTGGGGGTGGCATTCTGGAGTCTCGGATTGGGGGCCTGGCAGGGGTTTCCTGGCAGCACCAGGTATCCATGAGGTGTGTGGTCCTGGCCCCTGGCATGCTATGGGGTGGAGGCCGTGGGGCCTGCCAGGTCCCTGTCTGAGCCTGCACCCCCCCGCCCAGTTTTTCCTGCTGCTGCTGCTGGTGTTCCTGCTGGAGGCCACCATTGCCATCCTCTTCTTCGCCTACACGGACAAGGTATGGCTGCCTCGGCCGCAGGCCCAGCTGCAGGGCTGGGGGCTCCATCCTCGCTCCCAGGGGGCACCGTGGGCCCGGTGTGGACAGAGTGGCCCCCCATCTGCCCTCCCTGGCAGCCAAGACAGCGGGTGTGGATTTACCAGGCCTGGAGGGGGAGCACCCCCAACCCTGGGAGGCTGTGCTGTGCCTCTCAGTGACTGGGGCAAGAGGGCACTGCTCCCCCACCCGGAGGGCGCACCCTAGGTCGTACCCGACACAGCATCCCGGGCCGTCTGCTCCCAGCGCCTTGTCCTGGCTGCTCACCGTGGGGTTCTGCTCTGTAGAACGGCCTCTTCTTGGTCACTCATTTATATATTCAGCCATTTGTTTATATTGGGATGAAGTCACGGCTATGGAGGCTGCACTCTGAGCTAGAACACAACACTGCTTTGTTTTGTAAATCACACTGTCAGTAAGGAGAGCTCCTGCCATCGGCTGCTGGGTCCTCTGATGTGCCCCTGTCAACACTTTTCATTCTGGGGCACGTCCTGACTTCCTGGCACTGTAGGGGGCTCCAAGCTCCTCCTGTATTCCCTGCCCTGGCCCAGGAATCAGCCCCTTTTCCAGGGTGCCCTGGGTCCTCACTGAATATTGGGGACCGTGGCCAGGGTGCTGGGTGGGCTCTGCGCTCATAGCTCCTGGCTTCCAGCTCACAGAGCACGGCTGCACGTGTCCTGACATGTGGAGTCCCTGTGTGCCTGTCTTCTGTTCCCCCAGGACCCATGGTCCTCCCCCAGCCTGGGGAGGAAGCCCGGAGGTGGGGGCCCTGGGCCTCAGGGTTGCTGGGAGGACATGGGGCCAGTGTGTCTGCAGCTTGGTGGGCTCGGAAGGGTAGGAGACACTTCAGGACCAGGCGCAGGAGGGGGCCAACTTAGGGGCCAGCGAGGGGGTCTGGATGAGGGAGGCGGGGTACAGTGGGAGGGGCCCTGCTGACCCCCCCGCACCCCCAGATTGACAGGTACGCCCAGCAAGACCTGAAGAAAGGCTTGCACCTGTACGGCACGCAGGGCAACGTGGGCCTCACCAACGCCTGGAGCATCATCCAGACTGACGTGAGGCCTGGGCAGGTGGGTGGGGTCAGCAGGTGCCCCCTCCCCTCCCGCCTCAGCCCGACCTGAGCTTGTCCCCCAGTTCCGCTGTTGTGGTGTCTCCAACTACACTGACTGGTTTGAGGTGTACAACGCCACGCGGGTGCCTGACTCCTGCTGCCTGGAGTTCAGCGAGAGCTGCGGGCTGCATGCACCTGGCACCTGGTGGAAGGCGGTGAGACCCCCACCCTGGGGGCTGGTGGGGGCCTAGAGGGTGGGACCGGCAGGCCCTTCCGTGACATGCAGGACATGCCTCCTGCAGCCGTGCTACGAGACGGTGAAGGTGTGGCTCCAGGAGAACCTGCTGGCTGTGGGCATCTTTGGGCTGTGCACGGCACTGGTGCAGGTATGGCCTGGGGACTGCAGACTCGCGCCTACCCCTTTGCTGGGGCCTTCTGAGCCCAGGGAACAAAGTAGCAAAGGCCTTGCCCCCAGGAACCCAGGATCGGGGGAGGCTGGGGCAAAAGCAGGAGGGTGAGTTCGGGGGGATGGGCAGGGACGGCCTGTGGGGACGGTGGGCTCCCTCCTAGTGGACAGAGGCAGAGGCTGGTATGGGGTGGAGGCCAGCGGCCATCCGTGCTGGTTGGTGGCCCAGGACTGGTCAGTGTGCAGAGAGTGGCAGCTGGGGTCCTGGTGCCTGTGGCCCCTGCTCTCCAAACTCCACAGCCCCCAGGAAGTCCTGGGTGTCCTCATGCTTGCAAGGCTCAGGGGAGGGTGCTATGGCTTGAGCCACAGGGGTTGGGTGGGGTGTGTGAGCCAGCAGGAAGCTGAAGGGCTCTGCCGCTGTGTCCCCTGCCCTGGGGTCAGGGCCAGGGCCAGGGCACCTGCTGAGGACAGGGCTTCAGGCCTGAGGCCATGGAGCTGCCCAGCCCTCCTCCCCTCCCCACAGATCCTAGGCCTGACCTTCGCCATGACCATGTACTGCCAGGTGGTCAAGGCAGACACCTACTGCGCATAGGCTGCCCGCTTCTCTGCCAAAAGGATGCCCACAGGGAGATGGCCGTGCCCACAGCTGCCTTTCCCACCACCAGCCTCGGTGCTCTGCCCCATGCTGGGAGGAGGGAGGGAGGGACAGGTGCCCGGAGCCCCTAGAACCCTGTTTCTGCAAGGCCTTGGCTCAGGTGGCTTCAAGGCCTCCAAACCCCCGCTGGGAGGGGTGGCCACGTGCTGGCTATGGAACCCAGGGCAGGGGTGGGAGGGGTCTCCAGCACTTTTTATATTTACATATTCTCCAAAGCAGTGTTCACACGGGTGCCAGCCTGTGGCCCCCAGCCTCCCGGGAAGCGGGTTGGGGCTGCAGGAACAGGGGCTTGGCATCCTGGAAGTGGCCCCACTGGTCCTGGTGCTCCAGGCAGGGCCATGGACCCCTTACCTACATTCCACAGTGGGCCTGTGGGGCTCCTGCTGCATCCTAATAAAGTGTGAGCCACAGCCCTGCGTCTACTGCTAGTCTGCCTTCCCTACCCCATCTTCCCTTCTGGCACCCAGGCCTGGGGCAGGGCAGCCTCTGGCATGAGGCTTAGGCAGAGCCCTGTGGCTGTGGGGTCACCTGGTGCACAGGCTTGGGGGAGCCGCCTGCAGAGGACTCTCCAGACTTCTGGTTTTAAGGAAATCATGACATTAGCTCTAAGAAGTGGTGATGAGGCCAGACACGGTAGCTCACACCTGTAATCCCTTTGGGAGGCCAAGGCGGGTGGATCACTTGAGGTCAGGAGTTTGAGACCAGCCTGGCCAACATGTTGAAACCCTGTCTCTACTAAACATACAAAAATTAGCCAGGTTTGGTGGCAGGAGAATCACTTGATTCTGGGAGACAGAGTGCAGTGAGTGGAGATCGCACCACTGCACTCCAGCCTGAATGACACAGGAAGACTCCATCTCAAAGGAAAAAAATAGTAATAAAAATTAAAAAAAAAAGTGCCAAGGGCCCTTGGTGGGAGGGGGGGGGGCGTCCCTGAACTGCCGGCCTGTGCTAGGTGGGCTTCCCTCTGCTTCACCCCCAACCCCAGGGTCTTTCTCCCCAAGTGGGGCTCTCCTGCCCAAAAACCCCCACCCCAGGGCCTCCTCCTGAGGCAGGGCTCCTTCCACATCACCCCCACCCTGGGGCCTCCTGTCGAGGTGGGGCTCCGCTTTTTCCCCGTCTGTTTTGTTCCTAGAACTCTGCCCTTTAAGTGAGCTGGCAGCACAAAGCAGTTATCACGGGGCACAGAAAAAACATGCATCGACGTGCCTGCTACAGGATTCTCACAGCCAGGGGAGGGTTGTGTGGGGACACTGGCCAGAGATGACGGCCAGTTCAGGTTGGGGCATCTGATCCCCAAACTGTACCCCACAATCTCAATTTCCAGCTAATTCCTGCCTCATCCTCTGCCCATCACCCTGGAGACAGCCCGCTCTAGGCGTCCTATCCTATGTGGCATCCCCACCCCTGCTTGCACCCAGTGCTGATCTGGCAATGCCTAGCTCCAGGCCCACACCACCCCCCCAGACCTGCGTGTCCCCTGCCCTCACTCTGATGGAAGCCACAGGATCCCTGAGAACCAACTCAAATGTTAGCGTCAGCGCCTCTGGGGACACAAGGTCAGTGCCCCAAAGCCAGTGGCAGCTTTTTTTTTTTTAGACAAGGTTTTTGGAGTGTAGTTGATCACAGCTCACTGCAGCCTCAACCTCATCAAGCGATCCTCCCACCTCAGCCTCCTGAGTAGCTACGAGTACAGGCCCATGCCATCACGTCTTGCTGACTTTTGTATTTTTAGTGGGTAGAGACGGGGTTTCACCATGTTGTCCAGCATTCCTCCCGCCACGGCTTTCCAAAGTACTGGGATTACAGGCATGAGCCACTGCACACACCACCTGTATCTCCTACACCCGTGTCAAGCAGCAGCAAAGCGGTGGGAAGGGCTGCACCTGCAGTGTGGCGGCTCACAGGCCTCCCTGACGTCCAGGCCTTTCTCAGGCGTGAGTGCCTTGGCGCCGACCCAGGACCCCCTCCCCAGCTTCTGTCCTGTGGAGGAGACCCCACCATGCTTCTTACCACCAGCTGGAGATGTCCTGACCCCCCTGCCCACCACACCCTGATGTTACTGACTCTGAACCAGAACACAGTGCCCACCCTGGCCTCACCGTCCCTCACCCCACGGCATTCTCAGGCACGCCCAGGCCCATCCACTCCCTGGACTCACTTCTGTCCCCCCAAGAGACCCTGCCTGGGACGTGTACCCACCTATGCCCTCCGCTGCCCACCTCAGCCCTGGGGGTCCTAATGGTGAGGAGAGGAGTTCTCACGGCCAGCCAAGGACAGGATGGCGATGAGGGGCAGGGGAATGAAGGCCGCCAGGCCTTGGCTCATGCCTCCAAATTCCCCAGGGCCTCCCCAGAGCCTGGACACCGCTGCATTTCGGGGTAGGTGCAGACTGCCAGCCATGTGTCCTCTGCCCCACCCCTCACTGGAAATGCCCTTCCTGATGTGGCCCACGGGTCCTGCCGTTGCCCCTCACCATGCTCCCTGATGTGGCCAGGCTGGCCTGGGGGTCACGCTACCTGAGGCGGCAGAGCTGAGCCAAGGTCCAGGGCCAGTTTCAAGAGGGTGGGCCAGGTTCCTCTGTGCCCATTTCCAGGGCAGCCCCTGCACCCTTGCCATGCTGGACTCGGTGGGGACGTCTGGGTGGCTCTCTGCAGATGTCACACATATGCTGTGGCTGGCGAGGTGGGTGGTGACATGTGGGCGTGCAGCTCTCAGCTCTGTCACTGCCAGGCCCTGGGGTGATGCTGGGCAGAGCTGTCCCTGCCAGGGCCCTCAAGTCCAGGAGTGGGCGAGTCTGGGATGGTTCCAGAGCTTCCAAACCCACATCTGGCCCAGGATGTGAGAAGCAGCCCAGGAAGGCCTGAGCCAGGCTGTCATGGTGGGGCAGGTACTGTGGGTCCTGCCTGCCCAGCCGACAGGAGGCAGCCAGCAGATGCCCGGGTGGAAGGGGCTTGAGCTCTCGGGTGCCCCCCAGCCAGGACTCATCCCAGGGCAGGGACCCCTCATAAGAGGGTGGGGAGTCACACGGTGCCCAGGACCCCCGACTGAGGACTGCAGCAGAGCCGTCACAGCAAACGGAGTGGAGGCCTGTATTTCACACCTGCTCGCTCACTCCATGGCTTAGAAAAGAACATGTCCGCCGCGGAGGCCGCAAAGCCCGCCTAGAGCAGGTCGTAGAAGTAGTCCAGGCCCTGGCCCAGCTCCCAGATGGAGACCCCAACGCCCAGCTCCCGGGCCAGCTCCAGCCGCACCTGCAGGGACTGAGCACAGATGGAGGTGTGAGCGCCTGCTGGGGCCTCTCCCCCAACACCCAGGAGTGTCCTCCAGGCCGAGGGGCAGCACTGCCTGGACCCCAGGGACCGTGGGCCAGTGCCTGCCATGCTGTCGCATGCCCCATCTCTCCCCCGGTCCCATGGCTGGCAGACACGCACCTTCAGGGTTGGATAGAAGACGACGTGCCTCCCACTGCGGCTCCTGCAAGACAAGGGGACTGTCGGCCCGTCCGCCGCCTCTGCTGGTTCCAGGCCGCCTCCCCTTACAGCCAAGGTCCACGGCCTGGACTCTTCCCACCCGCCAGGTGGCCACCTGCTGTCCAGCTGTGCTCCGGGGCCGGGAGCAGCAAGTCAGCTCGTGACCCTGGGACCCCCTGGCCCTGCTGCTCCCTCATCTCCACCCCCCGGGTCCTGGGATCCCCTGGGCCCTGCTGCTCCCTCGTCTCCACCCCCAGGGTCCCTCCCTGCACACAAGGCCGAGGCGGGCCATGCACTTCCCAACACTCACTTCTTGTACTCGAAGAAGTGCTCCGAGGCCTGGCTGTCCCACACCATCCGGGGCCTGTGGTCCTTCAGTGTCTGGATGTACCTGGGGAGAACAAGGTGTGGGTTTGGGAGCCCACCCAGCTCCCCCACCCTGTACCCCAAAGGCTGTGGCTATCAGCAGGGGCAAGGCCACTCGGGGCAGCAGGTAGAGGGAGCCACTGTCCCCAGTGGTCTGGGGGACGATGGCTGGTGGGGTGGCCAGAGCCTCGGGTCCTGTGAACCCTGTATTTGAGGAAGCACATCTTCCGGGAGCTTCCTCAGGAGAAGCCGCCCCAAGTCCTCTCAATGGCCTGGAGAGTGACACGAGGCCTGAAACTGCCTCACCCTGGGGATGGCCCTCAGGCTACACAGTGGCTGCTGGACGGGGCTCCTCACTCTGTCTAGACCCCAGGTGAGAGGCTAACCAGACAGGCCTCAGGTTGCCCTGGCCCCGCTGCTGGCCCTGGACTGATGGGCAGTGCCTCATACTGGGGATGGCTGCCTGGGGCAGTGGTTTCTGTACCCTTTTTTTTTTTTTTTTTTTTTTGAGATGGAGTCTCGCTTTGTCACCCAAGCTGGTGTACAGTGGTGCAATCTTGGTTCACTGCAACCTCTGCCTCCCAGGTTCAAGTGATTCTTCTGCCTTAGCCTCCTGAGTAGCTAGGACTACAGGTGTGCACCACCATGCCCGGCTAATTTTTGTATTTTTTAGTAGAGACGGGTTTCACCATATTGGCCAAGCTGGTCTGGAACTCCTGACCTCGTGATCTGTCCGCCTTGGCCTCCCGAAGTTCTGGGATTACAGGCGTGAGCCACTGCGCCCAGCCTCTGCACCCTTTCAAAGGCTAAGTCTGTCTCAGTCTTGAACCACCACCACCCCAGGCCCAGGACTGCAGCAGGCCCCCCCGGAGCACCAAGAGCCAGTGGTTTGAGAACCACCCCCTCCTTCACAGAGGACAGGCTCATTCCCAAGGTGCTGGGGACACAACAGCGGTTTCCAGGTCATGGGGGACCTTGAGTGTGGGCACGTCTCACACTGCACATTTGGGACCAGGGCAGGTGGTTCCAGAACACTATGGGCCACAGCCACCAGCAGCAGCGACAGATCGTTCTGGAAGCTTCTGGTCTCCGCAGACAGGAGTGTGTGCAGGTGGAGGCAGCTGACGACGGAACATGACCAGTGGCTGCTGCGTGAGAAAAGTGCCCCCGACATGCCTGGGGCTGCAGCCTCAGGGAGGAGGCCTGGAGTGGGGCCTGCAGCCCGGACACCATGCGGGAGGGGAGGACAGGCAGTGGGCAGCTGCAGAGGCGCAAGGACCTGGGCTGTGTGGCATGGACATCGGCAGGACCCTAAGGGGTCATGGCTGGACACTGCAGGGTTTATCCAAGTGAGAAATGGCAGCCATAGGACTGCACCTCGAGCCACCTTCCTGCTCCTGCCCAGGAGGAATGGATGTCTGAGGATCCCAAGTGGGGGAGGCTGCTGTTGTCCTGAGTGGGGCAGAGTCCCCTTGACACTGGGAGCCTCTTCCAGGCTGAGGCACGTCACTTCAGAGCTGTGAGCGGGAGCAGCTGCCACCTGCCCAGCAGTGCTCGAGAAAGTGCCAGACC